TTTATTGTAGAGATGAGGTCTCGCTGCCCAGGCGGGTCTCGAACCCGCAAGCTCAGGCAATCTACTCACCTCAACCTCCCAAAGGCACGGGATTATAGGCTGAGCCACCAAGCCCGCCTAAATATAGATTAATATTAGTAGTGAGGTTTGATTGCATATCCCCCCCCCCTTGTCTGTGGAAAAATTGTCTTCCATGATACCAGTCCCTGAAGCCAAAAAGGTTGGGGACCACTGCTCTATACTACTGCAACAGTCAGCCTCCTAAAAGGTAGATCTACTCACGCTATACTCATTTGGACAGTATTCATGGTCTCCATGCTCTGACTCCTGTCTATCTCTGAAGCTCATCAACTACAGCCACCACAGAGCACCCCCAGGTCCATGCCACAACTATAGTTCTCTGATTTGGCTGAGATGTTTCTCTACTTTGGCATATGCTGCTTTCTCTCCCTAAGATGTCTTTTTCCCTTGACTGTATGGCATACTCTGTACACCTTTAAATATTTTAATCAAGGATCTTCTCTATGAAGACTTTTGTTATCTCTGGTAGTGCTATAAGCATCCACTTCCTTATGACTCTCATTAAGGCTTGCAAATGCGCTGCTTATAGCACCTGTCACACTGTATTTCGATATGTGTATCTTTCTTCCCTACCAGACTATATGTTCATTGAGGGCAGGAACTACGAATCTATCACAGTGTCCAACACATGGCAGGTGTTCAATAAAATTTTGTTGACTAGTTTGAATTAATTGTAATGCCACAGGCAACTATAGTATATAACTTAAAGATACATTCTCCTTCCATGATCACTCAGAGTAAAATAATAATCCGATTATAAAGAACCATGTTTATGTCAGCCATGAGAGTTGGGCAGGGTATCATTCTAAGAAAACCAAACTTCTTTTCTGCAAAGTAGAAGCCCTGTATGGGTCAAACTGTTTCCTTCTTTGGGTATAAAGTGATCAGAATAATTCAATTATCACTGATGGTCTGAACAAAAGCCCTTCCCTCTCTAGATGAGCAGTGTCAGGTTTGGCCAAGGTGCACTTGGTTCTCCCAACCCAGACCTTAATTAGTGCAGTAAAGACAGCACAGGTAGCTGTAGGCCACCCTTCCTTTCCTTTTCCTCTTAAACTTTGCACTGGTCACTCTGATCACTTCATTAAAGCCATGACTGTCTCTCATCATTATGATCTTCTCTATTGCATAATCACCGAGGTCCCTTCACCTCAACGTTGCTTCACTCGAGTCTTCCTCCTGGTACAGCAGAGATGGGAGAAGAGGGGAGCCAAGTCTCCCGAGGGCCTACTTACTGATGGTGTACGCCTGAAGGCCACCAGGTAACGGAAACTCACCAAGTCCCAGAGACAGGATGGATTCCGGGGCAATCCGAGACAAGTCGGAGTCCACTCCGACCTCCCAATCCCAGTCTTCCAAACAGTAGGCACGACACCCTCTCTAGCCCCGGGCCTGCTGTGTACAGACTGCCTTGCCACGGTTGTCTAGGTAACCCACTCTCCGCCTCCAGCGACCTCCGAGTGGGGAGGAGGATGAAAGGGGCGGGGAAAGCGGCGGCCGTCTGCATCCGAAAGGGTCTGCGTCACGTGGTGGCAGCTCCAGCCAATCAGCAGAGGCAGGGGTCTTGCCGGAAGACCCGCAGGTGCTCTGGAAACGGTGGAAGCTTCTCACTGGCGGGTGCCTCGGAACTAGCGCGCGTTTTCACCCCTCATCGCCAGGTGGGAGGACCTGACTGAAAGCAACGCGCTGTGGGCAAGGCGGCGGAACCTAGTCTTTGCCTTTTCCAGTCCTGACTCTTATGTATTGAAAATCTTTGGTTCTCGGGCCTCGGAAGCCCAGAGCCTATCAGGACTTGAACCCCAAAGACACGGCGCTGTGATGTCACAAGGCGATCTGAGCTCTCTCGGAGCGGGCTCCCTCTGGCGGCAGCCCGCGACCACCGCCTTGCAGGCATGTAGCTACCTGTGCCATCTTTACTGCACTAATTAAGGTCAGGGCAAGAGTCGCTGTGTGTCCAGAAAGCCGAGTCGGGGGATCGCGGGACGACACGAACTCCTGGTACCTACCGAAAAAGAGGTGGGCCTTCCAAGGGTCTTCTTGTCGCTTTCGAGCAGGCTTTGGGGTGTCTTTTAAGTATTCAAAAATGTTCAGGAGGTAGCAACTGTTTTTAAAATAAAGTAGCTTTTAGAGGAGGGAGGGAAGACTTTTCAGAGTGGATCGAGGGGCTGAGAGGTGCATTTAGAAAAAGACAAACCAAAGCAACTCGGATCTGTGTCATTCTCTTGATCTGGGCTGCCCAGTGTGTTCAGCCGTGAGTGACTGTTGAATACTTGAAAGGTGGCTGTCTGGACTGACATGTGCTGAAAGTATGCACTGAATTTTGAAGGCTTCGTATGAAAAAAGTATGTAAACTATTTCGCTAATAATTTTTGTGTCGATTGTATATTGAAATGATGTTTTGGTAAAGTGGGTTAAATAAAAATATATTGTTAAAACTGTTTCTACTTTGAAAATGAGGATGTTAGAAAAAATATAATTTGCATATGCGACTGGCCTTGTTTCAACACTACTGTTCTCTTTTTTTGTGGTTCCCTCGGTTTGTGTAGAATATTTACGACGTACAAGTTATGAAAAATTGTGTCTGTAGTGCTCCTTTCTGTCACCAGATGGCCACCTCATTCAGTAGACTAGAGTTTTAAATTGCTTTCCCAAGAAAAATAGTTCAGATTTTAGAAATATTGCCATTTATTTAATAGCTGTCAACAATTCAGCATATTTTCTGTAAGTCAATTAACTTTCTTTGTAGTACTCATATGTAAACACAGAAAAAGGAAAACTAATTTTTTCTTTACATTTTTAATTACAGAAAATTGATTTTATTTGTTATTAACAGATAAATAAAAATAAGTACAATTTTGTGGCTTAGGAATTTCAAACTAACGCCAGAAAATTCGAATCCCTGGTTTGTACTTTTTCTATTATCTTCTCTGAAAATCTAGTTGAACAAGACCTGTCTTTGGGAAATTTTTTTTCTCAGTATATAAAGACTAATTAAGACAGTGGTTTGGATTTCTAAACTTTTAGATATAGAAATTGGATGAGAAACCAATTAGGTGAATTATCTACATAAAGTTTCTCATTTTGGGGGATGCAGCTCTTTTGAATGAAAGTATAGACATTATCAAAGTATATTGTTAGAAATCTGTCATGATTTTCCTAACCAGTAAAAGACTGGAAGAGAGCCAAACATCATTTTCTTTGTATTATCTAAACAAATAATTTCAAGAATGTTAGCATTTCTAAGTAAAGCTCAAGGACTTGGGCAGTTAGCAGTTGAGTCAGTGTTCCTGTATAGCTGTAGACTTAATAACCAGGAGTAGTTGCCAGAATAAAGCCTTTGTTCACAATAATTCATAAAAGGAATGGAATATTCACATATTCCAGATGTTATTTGAAGCAAAAGATGTTTATAGTTAAAAGCCATAGGAGCAATATAAAAACAGTGGCCATTTTTGTTAATCTCCTTTTCTCACATTAAAGTTGTTTTATGATGTAGTTTTAAGTATCTGTTCAAAAAATAATGGAAATTAAATATACTAGAAGTCAAACAAATTAAATAATCATTCAAAATGAAATGAGACTTCATTTATCTCACTGCTCATACTCTTATAAAAGTTCAAACTGTATAAATTTAAATTTGTTATTTATGTGTACATGTATCTTTAATCTGAAAACAATTAGATTTATTACCACTAATTATAGCAAACTTAAAGTATAATGTCCTGAGTTAAAGAAGAATCATTTATTTTGACAAAATAGAGGTGACTTTTCAGAAAGTCTTGAATTACATAAAGAAAATCTTGAATTACATAATAATTTGTTAATTAAAACCTTTTTAATTGGTTGTTAAATTTACAATTCTGCTTTGTAATGCCTTAAAGTTTAATTCTGGAAAACCAAGTCTGGAAGTCTTAAGTGCTAATTTGATTTTTATGTTCTTCTAGACATTTCATTCTTATGCAAATGAGTACTTTCCAGCTAATGATTTTATTACTGTAAAAATTAACTGTCTCACATTTGAATTTGTTGTATCACAAAAATCATAAATGCAGCACAACTTAGGGTTTACTTTGGCAGTGGAAGCGATAATTATGTGGTGCTTATAAAATCATCAACAGAGGCCCTCATTATTACTGTCTAGCAATGAACACATATTACAATCCAATTAAAAGTTATGGGTTGTTCTGAAGTAAAGTTTTAATTAGACCAACGGAATGCTATTTCTAATGAGTCTATCTGAAAAAGTTAAATAGTCGTTCATGATTTGTTGATACCTAATTATTGGACAAGCTCTTCTCAAAAGGTAGCCAGAATGCAACTGTAAAAGAGTTACTTCCTCCATTTCACACAACTTATCCTCATTTTACCATTCCAGTTATATTTGTATTTAAGGCAGTAAATTGAGAGACAGTAAATTTAAGCAGGAGTAGTATTTAGAGAGTTGACCAATTCTTTCTTCCCTCCATCTTTTTCTTGCTGTCCTTTGTTTCAACTTTAGGTTTAGAAAGTTGATTATAGTCTTCTGGTTGAAGTACATTATCATCACTGGTTCATACAACACACTTCTCTTGTTTTTGTCTCTAATTTTTTTCTAGCCCCACCCTTATCCCAACCATAGGCACAAATATACTTCTTAGAAACCTTTACATGCACATTTTAATCTTTGAGCATAAATTGTGTCGTGATAAATTTTATTCTGATTTTCATTTAGTGCTACTTCAAGATCTATTCATGTTTCTATATGTACATTTGGTTTATATATTCTACACAATATTCTATAATGTACATCAACCATGTTTTGTCTATCTTTTTTGTTTGTTTCCCTAGCAGTGGGCACCTTCTAGGCTGACTCCAGTATTCAAAATAACAATGACAGCCTTGTAATTGTTTTCTAAAGGACAATTTCTCTGGGATATATACCAGGAATAGAATTAGTGGCAAAAAACAAATATACTTAATTTCACTAAATACCATCTGATAACTTTCCACAATGCCCATCCCATATCTCCCACCTACCAACAGTACTTGAGACTTCTCATTCGCTTGTTGAAGAAATATTGAAAAAATCTCCTGCCAACCTCTCCAAAAGGGAAAAAGGAAAAGAAAACAGTTTAATTATTGAATAAACATTAAACCAGAATATATGTGTCACAGGCAATATCCTAAAGAGATTGCATGGACGAAAGAGATCTTTTATTATAGCCAAACAGACACAACCCATTACATACATGTTCTCAAAATAATTAGTTCTCAAATAAGAGGACTTGACAAACACCGTTTGCCACATCTTTAGTATGAACAATTAACGTGTAATTGGGGTGACCATCTGTGTTAGTTAAATGGCTTTATCCAAAGGAAAAAAAATTCTCACATCTTTATGAAGAAGTGCAGTTTTTTCCCCTCTTGTCCCACAGGAACTGGGAGACAGGGATATTACCTTCCTTGATGACTGCATTTCAGAGATGGCACCCAGATCCTTGAAAAGGGCATTGCTGTGCTGTAAAGCTGGTAAGTGCCTTAGGTTTGGTTTGGTTTGGTTTTTTAAGATTTACATATATATAAAAGGGACAGAGAAAGAAGTTACAATAACAGGTTTTCTAAAGAAGTTGCTTTGAAAGAAGAGTGGGGGAATCTCTTCCTTTTTGTACAAGGGAAGATTTTTTTTTTAATTTATACTTATCTTTGCACCCATATCTTTGATAAATGTTTGCTTAATGTCTACCTCTACCACTAGACTGAGTTGCTGTCAAAAGTGCCATACTGTAAAATATCTAAAAAGTCTTATTCTGAACCAAATATGAGTGACCTAGGCCCATGCCACAGTTTCAAAATGTCTTGAGAACACGTGCCCCAAATGGTTGAATTACAGCATGACTTTATACATTTTTAGGGAGATGGACTTGACAAACAAAACTTGAATCAATATATGTGAGGTTTACATTGGTTGGCACCAGGAAGTTGAGACATCTCCAAGTGGGGGCTTGTAGGTCATAGGTGAATTCAAAGATTTTACAATTAGCAGTGGATAGGAAGGGTTAAGCACTGTCTAAAGAATTTGATATCAGTAAAAGAAATGCGGAGTTAACAGATAAGGGAGGATTGGAGAAACCAAGTTTCTTGATGTGTAGATGAAGCCCCATAGGTAGCAGCCCTTAGAATAGATGGCGAATGTCTTAAAATGTGTCTGGGAGAAAGAGTGAATGAGCTCACCTGGGCCTCTTTTATTAGAGCACTAATTCCATTTGTAAGGGCTCTATCCTCATGATCTTAATCATTTCCCAAAAGGTCTCACCTCCTAATCACTTTGGAGGTAGAATTTCAACATATGAATTTGAAGGAGACACAAACATTCAGACCATAACACTCCACCCCCGGTCCCTCAAAACTTGTGTTCTTGCATGCAAAATACATTTATTCCATCCCTTTAGCATCCAAAGTCTTAACTCACTCCGACATCAACTTAAGTCTTAAGTACAGAGTCATCTAAACACAGAAGGCCCAAAAAATGTATTTAAGAAAGGAAAAATTTATTAAAATGGTAATACTCAATGTACACCGATAACAAAAGATAAATACAAGTCACGTTTGACTTCTGCATTGCAGAAGTGCTCAGAGTGGTTATCATCAGCATCCAGACACTTCTGATTACAGCGAACTACTGCTTGAGCAATGTTGACCGAGGTGTTCACTTGTATCACTGTGCATGCCGTTTCAATTTCTTTCCAAAATACTGCCATTGTAGCCAGTTTTCTATAGTACATCACATCCTCTAAGGTCCCCCATAGATAGAAGTCAAGGGGTGTTAAGTCAGGAGAACGTGGGGGAAATTTAACCACACTGTTCCATTCAATTTAAACTGTGTTTCATCATACCAAACCATTTTTCCCACAAATTCATCTTCTCATGCTATGCTTTAGAACCACTGCTCCCTTGGATCAGGGTTGCCTTCATTCAGTGCTTATAATAATCTTAGGATGAAAACTTCTTTTTGCTGTTTTAAGAATGCATCATATGCTTGTTCTACCAACTTGTCTCACGTGCACATTGTTTGGTAGACTTCAGAGGCAAACGTGTAAACAGCTCCAACACCATAGCAAAAGAAGCAGGACTTGTTGCTGTGCAAGGTTTCCCAGATCTTCCCTTGTGCACATCACACATAGTACCATGTGTTTCAAACTTATCACGAATGCATGCAGTTGGAGGTTCTGTTGCATACTCATGCCTCCATTGTCGTTGTACTCCCACAACATCCTTAAATTTCAAATACCACTTCAAAATGATCTTGCGCTCCTCAAATGACAACTGTGCTTCGCCATTTTCTTTGACTATTCTGTCTGTCATGTGGTGATCTTAGCATTCGATTAATTCCATCTTTTGAGTGAACATCATACTACACATTGCTACCATAATTCAACTTCAAAAAATAACACATAGGTAACATCTTTTAAAATGTGAATACTGTTTTTTGGCATTCTTGGTAGTATTATATAAATGAGATATGGGTGGGGGGACTTAAAGGGTGGCATATCCTGAGGCAAATTTTTCTCCAGCTGTGAACCTGTGAAATCAAGTTATGTGCTTTCAAAATACAATGGTGGGACAGGCATAGGATAGCCATTCCCATTCCAAAAAAAGAGAAAAAAGAAAGAAGAAGCAAATCGTAAGTAAGTCCGCAACCCAACAGGGCAAACAATATTATGCCTTAAGTCTTAAGAATAGCTTTCTTTGACTTGATGTCCACCTTCTGGGCACACTGGAGCTGTGGTTAGGTTCCCAAGGCTCCATGTGATCCAGCCCCCATGACTTTGTCAGGTTCCGCCCATACTGAACTGCTCATGGAAGGAATCAAATGCCTGTCACTCTTCCAGGCTGGATTTGGATGTTGGTGGCTCCTGGAGTTCCAGGAGCCCCACATATCTTCTCTGGAGGCTTCACGTCAACAGTTCTGGAGAACTAACCTATCCATTTAGCAAAGGCCAAATTGTATTCCCAATGTAGGAGCAGCTTCTGTGCAGCAAGCTAAGGAACACCAAGGATGGACAACCACCACCAGAAACTAGGAAGAGACAAAGAAGTATTCTTCCTGAGAGTTTTCAGAGGGATCGTGAGCCTGCTAACAACTTGATTTTGGATTTCTAGCCTCCAGAACTATGAGAAAATAAATTTCTATAGTTTCAAGACACCTAGTTTTGGTAACTTGTTATAGTGGCCTTAGGGAATGATTACAGGTACTGTTAGGCGGGGAAAAGGATCTTACCTAATGCTAGATAGATAGGAAGTCATTCAAATGATCACTTTGGCTTGTGTGTGAAGAGCAGTTGGGAGCAGGACAACGACAGAAACAGAGTTATGGGTAGGGTGATCATATAACTGTATGGTATAATTCAACTGTGACATTTTTTAAAAAAGAAAACATTAATAACTTTTCCAGGACAAAAGGCAAAGATCGAGACTGTTTCTAGGACAACCAGAATGTGTGGTCATCCTGGTTATGAGACTATTGCAATACCCATAGCAAGAGTTCTTGGCTTAGTCCAAGGTGGTAACAGCAGAGGAAAGAAGAGGCGGTTGGTTTCTACATCTATTTTGAAGATATCAACAGGTTTTATGAGGAATTGAATATGAGTTATGAAAGAAAGAGATGGTAAATCCAAGGTTTTGCTCTGAGCAATTGGAGAAAGATGTTGGCATTTTCTGAAATAGGAAACAGGTTTTAGGGAGTGAGAAAACATAGGAGTTTGGTCTTGGATATGTTAGGTTTGAGATTCCAATTAGAAATGCAGTCAGAGATGTTAAGTAAGAAGTTGGGCTTATAAGTCTGGAGTTCAGGGGAGAGGTCATGAACGTAAAGATGGTATCTAAAGTCATGAGACTAGATAAAATTACCAAAAGAATAAGTGTGAATAATAGAAGAGGTTGAAGGGTTGAACTCTGGGACACGTTAATTTTTGTGTTGAGAGAGGAGAAGGAGCCAGCAAAGTCCCAGTGAGAAAGATAAAACCAGGGAAGACTTGTGTTCTAGAAGCCAAATGAAGAAAATGGAGTGATGGTCAGTCATGGAAGATGAGGCCTGAGAGTTGAGATCACTGATATACTACTGAAAAGAATAATTTCTCTAAAGTGAATTCAAGAAGAATGAATGGAGAGGAATTAGAGACCATGGACCTCGATGCTTTTTTCCCCCTCTTTCCTGTCTGTCCATCACTTATAGATAGCTCTTTAAGGAGTTTTGCTGTAAAGGAGAATATGATTGCCTGGCAGCATTACTCTCTTATGAGTAGTGGTCAGGAATGTAAGGTGAGGCCAGTCAGTGTGGTTGTGATTTTTCTCTATCTACCTTCAACTGTGTGTGGCTCTAGCATAGAGGAGTGGGAGAGTTGGATTTAACCAAGGTTGAGATTTAACCAAATGTATGCAGCAAAATGAAAGAGAAGCAGAAGCATTGAGGATGTATTCACAGGAGGGTCAATAATGATTGACCTTGGCATTTAAGCTGGGAGTGAATGTGACTTCATGAGGAAAGTTGATCCATGGATTACACATACCAGTGGGGGCACTATCTGAGCCCCTATAGTATTGCCATAAAGGAATACCTGAGGCTGAGTAATAATTGATAAGAAAAAAGGTAGCCGAGCTCGGTGGCTCAGCCTGTAATCCCGCGCCTTTGGGAGGCTGAGGTGAGTGG